GTTCGAACGCGAACGCCAAGCGCCGGCAGAGAGCGCGTTCCAAGATTCCAAACAAAGCTCGGTGTCTGACGTCCACGCATGCTCTCGTCTCCTCCTCTCCCTCGGTTTCTAGCCGCATAACGTTCAAATAATTTGTGATTCACTTACGAGTACTTAACTTTTTAAATGGTAAATTGGAAGATACAGTTTCAATTCGAAACACCCTTGGCATCATCAAAAAAACGTTTAAATCAACTCATTTTAGAAATATATATAAGGCACTCACTACAGCATTTTACGGGATTCAGAAGAAAAAATATAAAAATAAAATGCTAAGTATGAAGGCAGGTATTGCCTCTCTGCAGTGCACCAGTGCTCGGTAAGAAGCGCACTCAACGGGGTTAACCAGCCCCTATCAGCGCTTCGAAAAATAAGAATATCGCAGTTCATCATCCCCAAGCGGATATCTAACAGCGTACTATTCGAAAATCCGCACAATCCTAATGGAATGAACCACATTAGTGTGCGTCAGGCAGTGAGCAAACTCGATGAAGGTTGTACTAAAGGAATGAAGAAAAATGCCGTAGCAACCAACATCGACATGTAACAAGGGACGTAGGAAATGCACAAATCTACTATTGCGTCTTGAAACAAAGCATAATTGCTTGAAGATGCAATAGCGCCTACAGTACACAATAGACGCATAAAATTGACAAAATCCACGAACTAAAATAGAAAAAGGTGACTAGGTGGAGAAATCGAAGCCATGTTTTCTTTCAATGCCGGATTAAAAGGCAGCGTTTCCATAAGCGCGAATGGGTGTTAGGAGCTAATTAATCTTAATTTTTGTTTTTGCACAGCTTCCATCAGCTTTAGATGCTGCTCCTCAACAGCATCGATATAGTTATTTAAACAATTTTCTCAAGTCTCTCAACATTTTTCTTTGAGACAATAAAATAAATACAACACAAGGCTGGTGCAGTTTGCCCATATTCTAACAAAATATGCAGGATGGGCACTGCTTCGAAGTTTGGCACCTCAATCCCATCCCATGAAACTGATTGAGCAATTTTACAGGGATAGCAGTTATGTGCTTCTTCTGCTGGAAATGATGTTCGTTGTGGTTGTAGTAGCCGTAGTCAGTGTTCAGTAAATACATCTAAAAAGCACTTGAGGTAAAGTACAAAATAAATTCGAGGTAATGCATTTAAAGTGAAATAGTAAGTACAGTAAAATGGATAGGTGGGCCAGTTGGTACATAGTTAACATGTAAACCGCCTAAAAAACGAGGACACAAGGAAGACGAGACAGGACCAAGTGCTAGTAAGTACTCGTGGTAAGTACACCGTGCACAATGTACTTGAAGTAAAATGTTATAATACAATGTACTTTTAAAGTACTTTTTTAACACAATGACGTCCTTTGATTCCCCTATAGATTTTTTTTTTTATATATAACTGGTATGCATTGTTTTAGGGGTAATCGGGGGTACATCAGGTATTTTTGGAAAAGGCGGCAATTATTGCATAAGGTCAAGTGGCCGAAGAGTACTTCTATTAGGTACTCTCATTGACAAACTATTTGACACAATCGAGCTGAAATATGACGTAGATGGGTTGGACCACAATAACTAGTAAATAGTTTAAGGATAACTACAATAAAAAAAAGTATAGCCAACAGAAAAGTAAAACTACTCGCACAAATCCCTTGATTCTAGCACCTTCCAATCAGCAAATAAAATGATTTGCTATTTTAGCCCAACTGAGCGACAACAAAATTCAACATGGCGACCACCACAAAAAAAAAAACTGTCTAAAGTTGCCATTACTTACCTCAGAGAAATGACCAGATAATGTCTCAAAAAAGAAAAGCGCGTTATCACATGACCATACACTCTTTAGAGCACAGCTCTTGGGCGCCTGTTTCCGGCTTGAGCATCGTCGGCGGTGACGTAATTGCGCGTTGCATTATGGGACGTTTCCCAAAACGGCATCACACATGACGTCATGAGGGTCACGAGTGACGTCACGAGGAGGAGAGGAGGAGGGAACAGGAGCATGGGGGTGGGGACTAAAAGCACTAAAATCTGGAATAATTTACCATCGCCAGTCACAACTTTATTGCCTCATTAAAAGAGCAAATATTTTTTGAAAGAACATGCCTATTTTCATCTTGAGTCTCAAACCCACACAATGCAGATAATCTTTGTTAGCCTTGACTACCTTTGTTTCAACAATTATCATTACATTAGTTACGTTGTTTGTGTGTCATAACTAGGGATGCCACAAACTTTTTTCGAATCGAAGTTTCGATGATCGAATCAAGCGGTTCGAAAGATTTCGATTTTTCGAATTGTCTATATCGCAAAATTCGACAGAGGTCGAATTTTCGAACTTGTTAAGCGAAGAAGTTCGACGCTTTTCGAACCGTCTAACTTATTACGCTAAAAAATTCGATATTTTTCGAACTTTCGAACTTACTGCGCTGCAAGGTTCGATGCTTGTCGAACTTTCGAACTTGACTGACCAAAAAATTGGATGAATTTCGAACTTTCGAACTTATTTATCAAGAGAATTCGAAAAGCTTCGAACTTTCAAATTCTGAAAAGTCAGAAGTTCGACGAACTTCGACCTTTTAGGGTAAAAGTTCGACGTTCATCGAACTTCGAAAGACCGGCGGACGGTTTCATTTGATTTCAAGTAGTGGGGTACATTCGTAATTTTTTTCTCTCGAACTTTTACACGCGGTGCTGCGTTCCTTACGAAAGACAATGTCGTTTATTTCAATGTTCTGGCATGCTTAGGTTTAAAGAAATAAATCCCCGAAGGGGCGAGGAAGGACGACGGGTTTTTGACGATTGTCGTTTGTGCCAGATTTGAAGCACGCTGCAGCCGGAGGTATTTATAGTAGATATGTTATACTTTTTTAAGAATGATCTATGTATAGCCTAGGTAAGTGCCGTCTTAAGATGTGATTATTGTTATTCAATCCAAACATGTATCTGCATGCAATTATGACCTAAACTTGATATTTATTTTCGTCTAAGTTGTTTGAGGTATCGCATTTAAATTAACACCACAGACAGTACATATCATTGCCATCTGCAGAATACAAAATAATATATTTATTGTTTTTTCACGTTAAGGAATAAATTAACTCATGGGAGAAGATTTCTAATAGTGTTCAAGTTCAGCACGTCATTAAAAGAAAACTTTTTTTTTTCGCTTCACGTTCCTGGGACGTGTTCCTTTTAGCCTGTACACATTTTGGTAAAAGAAACTTGTTTCGAAGTTCTGAACCTCTGAATATGCAAGAATAGAACACTTCCGACGAATTCTTGATAGTTTTTTTTTTCTCCTGCTTTTTATTCCCGCATCTTTTTTTTTTTTTTTTTGTTACTATCGGCACAGGTGTTTAGGTCGAAAAGACAGATTTGAACTTCCGAACCACTAAGCATGTGACGAGCAGTGCCTTCTGACAACGAGTTTCTAACAATGACCATCTACGCAACCTCTTATGCAGTGAAGAGCGACAGTAGCTAACATATGCATAAATAATTTCAGATTAAAATAAGCTCGACCACGCCCTCTTTCCCCGTATTGTTTTCTTTAACAGTCCGAAATACCCCTCAAGGGGGAGGAGGCTGAAGCCCCCCCCCCCCCCCCCCTACCCTCTTTCTCCCCGTTTTTCCTCTTCCGACGCCACTTGTATGGTAGAACGCTCCTCGACCTCGAGTTGTGTCGGCTTTTGTGCTTTTTGCGAGGCGATTCCTCCGTCCCAGAAAATAAACCTCCAGGACAATTATAAACTTCACCGGATAGGATTACTACCAGCGTGCAAGGGGTGGCGAGCTAGTTTGCCATGTCGCTTCAAGGTTTTTCTGAGCCTCAACCACCTGCTCGCCCCTGGCCGTTTCGAACTGGATGAGTCTCGTAAAACAGTGTGTTCGTGCAATCACTACTCCGTGATGCAGGTTAAAGACCCCCCCCCCGGGCTGGCGGTGACAATTCTGCACTGGCAAATATTCTTCGCAGAATCTAGATATCACACCATGTATCACACCCTAACTTTTCTAAACTTGATTTTGTGAAAACCAGTGAGTCGTGAAAACGTTATTTGAAACTGAAACCGTGGAAAAACTTGAAAATCGGACTCCGAAAACTTGGATTAGAAAGAAATTCAAAATTTTCAGTTTTTTTTTTTTTAATTTAGCGTTAAAAGAGAATCAAAATCTTCGAACTTTTCGAATTTTATGCAAAAAGAAATTCGAAATCTTCAAATTGTTCGAACTTCATGTCTATAAAAATTCGAAGCGTTCGAATTTTTTTTACAAAGAATTTCGAAATCTTCGAATTTATCGAACCTGAAGTAAGAAAATATTCGAAATATTCGAATTCGAAATTTTAGAAACAGTGAAAGCTTCGAAATTTTCGAATTCGAAACTTCGCTGTGGTCAAAAGTTGCGAATTTTTCGAAATCGAACCCCAGTTCGCTTCACAAATATCGAAACCTTTCGAAATCGAACCTAGGGTGGTTCGCGACATCCCTAGTCATAACAGATTATAGCATCTAAACCGGTCATTACTTGGTTTCCTTTTCGTGGTCTTTCTAACAGTGACTGTTTTCATGCATTATTAAGAATGGGCCCAAACTAGCCAATGGCTATGGGCCCAGATGGTTTCTTCAATAATCTGTACTGTTACTAATGAAAAATAAAACCAATCTGAATATGAAGGAAAAGGAGGAGAGGTGGAGGAGAGGAGGAGGAGGAGAGGGTACGGATGAGGAGGAGGGGCATACCCTCCTCTCCACACCCTCCCCTCCTCCTCCTCAAGAGCTGCACTCTAATTCAGCATTACAGGGAGTTGTAAACGTCTTTCTTTTTTTTTTGTCTTTTCGTTGAAGTTGATGAACTTTTATACTCAACCTTCCCTGCCACTCCCCCCTTCGCTGGATGCTCCAGAAGACTGAACCCTTAAAGTGAATAAAGAACATAAAATAATACACAGGATGTCACAAGATGTACAGAAATAATGTGGACTTTAATGGTTTTGAACCCCAGGATGCTACAGAGATTACACATGGCAAACGTTTGACATTGCACCAACAGCACCGAGAAAATAAAATATTTAAAATAAAGATGCAAATGAGCAATGATATAGTCGCCTACCCAAAAGGCGCCTGCTAACATAGCACCTTCAAAAACTGCAAAACTGTGGGCATTGAAGGTGTAGCCCTTGAAGCAGAAAGAATGTAAAGATCTTACAGCTTGCAATTGCAGTTGCATGATGAAAAAAGAAACATTGCATGCAACTTCTTTACTGCCACATTTAGCTAGCACCTTGTGGAGATGAAGTCTTACAACAGGCACGAGGAAAAACATTGCGAGATACACATAATTGTGTGAGACCCCGACACCTTTATAACAGGCAAACCTTAGCAGCCCATGTGAACAAAGAAACAAACACTTGCAATGTAAAAGTTAGGTTAACAACAGATAGTCTTCACAGTGCTAAGCAATAAATGGAATACTTTATGTGGTTTTAAACAATGTTGGAGGCATAACACCGCTCGGCTGCGACGCAATCAACAATACAAACGTGCTCCTTTGCAAGAGGAACTGTGAACAATGTTGCCAAAAGCTGCACATGTTTGAATGACAGACGACCAACAATCGGTCCTTTCGAGTATTAAAATATTACATCCAGCTTTCGGATGTCTCCTTACCATTACTAGAAAAATAGGCGCTTCCTCGTACGGCGTTCCTTCGCTCTGTCAAGATGTTTGCATCAACTTCCCCAGAGCTAGGTGCAGAAAAAGCTGCACAATTTTTACATTTCACGTAGCGCTACAAGTTTGTACACACAGAACAACAACGAAAAGGCACTTTCTTAAACTCCCCATTTTCTCTGAATTCATGTTTCATAGACTTTAAGGTTTGAGGGTGCCTGTGCTTTAACAAATGCAGAATTCCCAGCACCAGATACTATGGCAAAAAGCACCATATCTAGTGTACATTATAAGCAAACAAAGCCCGCAGCAAAATAACCTTTCTTTTTTTTTTTTTTTTCTCCAGAAGACGCGGCAATACGTTTCTTCTCCATCTGCTTGCTGAATAAGATGCACTAATAAGGGTGGCACCAGTGCCTGAAAGGACATCCTGATTCCCTGTGTATTCACCAACTGAGGGTCGTGCAAGTAATTACTTGATCACAAAATACAATACAACACCAGAAAACCAGATGGGATTTTACGACGCAAGCACCTAGCAAGTGAAGATGCCAACTCTGCCTCTAATACCGATTCCTTAACATCCGGAGACTAATCTCACATTCACGAATACCTCAACAAAAAAAAAAGGTTACCACTTTCTGGTCAGAAAAGGGGTCGAAAAAAAGAAGGTTCCAGAAAACCAACGTAAATGTGACGCGCAGTGACCATTCTTTAACCTAATGCCGCAATTTCGTTGGCTGCGAAGGAGATAATAAGATGATCCGGACTCGCCGTGCCCCGCATTTCTTAAGATGTCGGCGACTATAAAGGAGGTGAAGAAATTTTCTCAGTGGGGAGGGTTTTCCATTGACGAAGTGCCAAGGACAAACTATTCGTCAACTGAGCTGAATTCCTCTCTCCAAACGATCAAGTCCTAGAGATCCGCGCGAACAGGGAATGTGGAGTCTAGAGTCGATTGCACAAACTTGTCGCTTGTCCCGTTCAAGGTGCCCGGAACACGTCTCAGCTCGCCACTGCCAGCATACAATACTGCCCACGCTTCAAAAGCGGTTCCGAAGTTGCAACGAGTTACGTCACGGGAGCCGGCACGTTGCGCTGTTTAAAATAGAGATTCCAGGGGTTGGCCGTAAAAGCTCCGACGAGAGAGGTGAGCAAACGAAAGTGCCGCGTCGCTGCCGAATCCCAATTCCTGGCCGCCCAAGTTGCATCAAGCTAGAGGGTGAGCCACAACAGAACGGGCATCCGGCAGATCTACCTTCATTGCTGTACCAATTCCAGAATCGCGCCGGGCACGAAACTGTGGCGCCACCGGGCGGGAACCGGGAACCACGGATGCGGACGCAGTAAGCTGGTCAATCGGTCGGAGCCACGTTCCGGGAACCCTCGCCCAAACCGTCTTTCACGTCGAAACAGACGACTCGTCGCCGGCGGGCGGCCCTCAGTAGCAGAAGGGGATCCAAGCTCCACCTTCGTCCTTGCGGAAGTAGTGGGGCCGGTTGTCCGGGAACACCGTGACCCCCGGGAAGGGATGCTGCTGGATGTATTTGAGCGTCGCGCGGGCTTGCATCACGAACATCGGAGACTCCACCTCCGGAGACGTCGAAAGATGCTGCGAAATCGCTCCGTTGAGATATTTGTTTTCTCTTCGGCAAGGTCGGCTGCACTTGGGTCTAAGCCAACCGTTATTAAACGCGTAGCATTTATAGGGTTAACTCTAGTGCTTTCGTGTCTAAGCCTGGAATGCAGCCTGGACAAACTGTGCAGCACATTCATAGTCATTTACAGTAAACGACTTGATTTTCGCGGGCTCAAATTTTCGCGAATCGGGCCAAAGCCGAAAATTTTAAATTATTCGTGGGTTCTAATTTTTGCGAATTGAGTGTAGCTTCCGTAGCGTTCACATATTGCCCGAATTGTTTGTGGGACATATTTTTCCCGAATTGTAGGCGATTTGCGAAATTCGCAAAAATTAGGTTTTCGCAAAAATTTAGTCGTTTACAGCATATATTACATACTGCAGGCCTCGATTAGGCCCTTGCAGGCGTGGAGTACAGATCCAAAAGATGCAAACAATAGAAAACACAAGACAGATTTCAACCATAGTTTTACATAACTAACAGTAAGGAGAATAGCAATGACCGTTGAACTAAACATAAACAGTCAACGTACTGATTCAAAAGATGCAAAGATGAAAAAAAACAAGACACATTTCAACATCTCATTCGTTGTTTTACGTAACTAACAGTAGTGACTTTCAGAATAAACATTCAACGGACGAATACAAAAATGTGACAAAAAACATGAAGGCACGAATTAAAAAGGGTGATCAACGAGTACTTTACTAAAGTTGGGGAGATAAAAATATCATAGGGCAGTGTGTTCCAATTACATATAGTGCGTGGAAAAAATGAGAACTTGAAAATGTTAGTTCGAGCAAATGTTGTCTGAAGGGAAAACTCACTGTGGCTCCTTGTTTCCCTGGAAGATAACTGAGAACTCCAAGAACAGTCGGCGACTGTTCTTGGGAGCAGGAACTTCCCTCAGTACGCGCTCGGGGGCAGTAAGGTGGACTACACATAAAGTTCTGATTGCGAGCTTTCTATATGATTGCAAGCCTTCTAAATTCCATGCATTCAGAATGCCTTTGCGAAATGCCAAAGAGGCAGCCAATTGGCTTCCCCATTTGCATCATGAACGATGCAGCACAGTAATCAGATTTCCTCCATCTTTTTTTGCCCGCACAATTGTGTTTAACCCAATGTTTCATGCTTTTGTTGTACGCCCATAGCATCGCCGTTTGTGGATCGACCTAGAAAATTTGAGTATCTATTGATTCGTCGTCAAATTGCATCTGGTGAAGTAAAAATTTGCAAATCGTTTTAAACGAAGTTGGTGTGCCACTGAGACACAGTGAAGATCTCCAATGAGCATTCCGCTGTGCTTAAAGGCGTAAGGTGACTTCGAGACATGCCAGACCTCCATCGCGGAGCAGCGCGGCAAAAATGAGACGCTCACGGCCATGCCGGAGAGAAATATTCTAGTCAAATGGTCAAGGTGTTCTTTTACATTGTAGTTCACTGCCTGCCAAGATTCACCTATTACACAGATTCGTTCCCAATGTTTCTCCGATTTTTGTTGTTCGGAAAGGAACAATGTAATGTTTGCTCTTGTCCTGACTGTTTTGTTGGCAGCACCATCAGTAAATGAAGGCCTGTTCAACCCTGTTAAGCTGTTCAAGCTTAGAATGTAGCCTAGTGCTATAGGCACAGCGCTGACTTTGCGCGATATCTGCACTCTGCTCCGAGAGACGAGAAGTGGCCTCTTCTCTGTTTACGCACACAATGCAGGGCTACCTCAGTGTTGAGTCGCTGCTGATGCTAACAGGTGACAGAGTGCTGACTTGGTAGTATAACAGCACTGCATGTATCAGTGCTTTTCTGTATAAGACCTGGCCCTTTCCTGTTCACACACACAATGCAGTGCTGACCCAGTGCTGAATAGACCCTTTGCAAAAATCCCGAAAGCAGGCGCGCGCCGCGCGACGAATAATGGGAGTCCTCGGTACGGCCCTCCTCCTGCTACCACGTGACCACATGGCATACGCGTGCACATGCAGGTTACTATGGCAACAAGTTTTGAGGAGCCGGGCGAGCGACGAGCCAACGGCGGCTCTGTCGTCTGCTGCACCAACGCTTCGTCGAACCTGGTCGAAGCCTGCCACGAATGCAGTGCAAACTAAATGGATTCGGTGACACTTCAATATGTGAAGGTAAGTTACGACAAATAACGCATTAAAAATGAGTTCGCCTGTCGCGATGCCTTTACGCTGCCACAGATACCGTACGCCGGCAACGACGTACGGCTCGGCGGGTGGGCGGGATGGCGGATGGCTGCAACGGCTGCTGGAGGTAGCTGCCGGGATGCGCGCGCAGTCGCGGAGGTGCAACAAGAAAGCGCGTGATCTGTACCGAGGGTTCCCGAAATTCCCTGCCGTCGTGGCGCTGTACGTTTTCCAAAGGGTGTATTGGGTGCTGATGCTAGCAGCTGATAGTGTGCTGACTTAGCAGTATAACAGCAGAGTATGTATAAATACTCCTCTGTATGTGACCTGGCCTTTCCTGTCTACACACACGATGCAGTGCCAACCTCACACTGAGTTAAGCGCCGACACTAGCGCTGTTGTAGAGCTTGCATAGCACTATAACACACTATAGCATTGGCACTCCACTACGTGAGACCGGGCCTCTGCCTGTTTACACAGCGTCATTTTAACGGCGAGTCAGTGCGGACGCTGGCTGAAGTAGTGCCGACTGGGCGCCCTGCTGCTTGACACCACACCGTTTTCTGTCTTCACACTTATTGCAGTGCTAATTCAGTGCTGATGCAGCACTGATATTAGAGCAATCCCAGCGCTACACCGCCACGTGAGCCGACCTAAAGACAGAAAGAGGGAATGCTGCCTGCAGGGAGCACTGGTTCTCACCTGGAGGATAAAGTCGTCGTTCTGAGACAGCCAGAGGTCAACGCCCCTCATGGGCTCGTAGTTGAAAGGACCAATGCGCATCATGCCCAGGGAGCAGTCGTAGATGTCGCTCATCTGCACACAGGGATACAGGCACATGGTGTAATGGCACAGGCTCAGCACGACACCCGTGTCACAAAATAAACTTTCCCCAAAAAAGATGTTTAGTGCTTATTTACGTCACAAAAACTAATTCGATCAATCCCAAAACATGCTTCCATCTTGGGATCGGTGTCTCGAATAAGGAGCGTGTTTTGAAACCCTTCCCAACTCAACATGCACCTTGCAACACAAATATTGTGCATGTTTTTTTGTTTTTTTTCTGGGAATTTTTATATTGTGACAAAGGTGTCCTATCTTGGCTGTTGTGTCAACGGAAAGGTTGCATCCTGGCAATGTGTTATTGTTTGATTGTGCTGGCAAGAGACTTTTTGTTCATATCAGGCACGTGTCTGCAACCTTTCGTTCGATTGTTAGAGGTGGCTCTAAAAAGCGCACTCCTTGTAGTGGTTGGGGTTGGTGGTCTTCGTGTCTTTGTTGGAATAGACTGTAAACCCAACCCTGGTACTTGCCAATATAACACTGGAGCTAAAAAAAGATATGTTTATTGGAACTTCAGTGTTTCTTTAAATAAAAAAGGATCTCCATGTTCATTCTGTCCACATGCATCTGAACAACTAGTGAAGAATGCGTGGACAGCACGACCGACGGCACGTGGATCGCCTGCGGACGCGTGTGTTTACGCCTCATGGCCCAGGCAGAACAAAGTCACCGGAGATCCAACAATGTCACAAAGCACTCCGCAGCCTTCACAATCCCATCACATCAGTGCTTTTGTTAAAAATGCCTTAGCTGAATGGCTATGTCACGATCTGGTAGTTGACAGCAAGTCATTGCCGGAAATATAATGGGTCAGTGTTTCCCCCGCAAATTTATACAGCTCGAAGCAGCGCAACTGTGAGGCAATCCAGGAGTATACAGTTCCCATACGATAAATGGCACCAAGCACAAGATCCTTTGAAATGGTGCTCCAGTGATGAATGGGCCACCGCACAAGCCCATGTGGGTGATTAAACATTATCAACGTGGGCCGACGTTTTCACCCATGACAAAGCATTGGGATAACTCGGGTAGATGGAACTAGTAGAGCATTAATACAAGAGCAATATCCCAGTGTTTGCCAACACAAAATGACCCATGACCAACAATGCCAAACAATGTCAGGAGCTTCAGCCAGCAGCGCATGCTCCAAGCCCTTGCTAAAAAGCCAAATAAAACGCAAGAAAACTGGGCTTTCTAATGAAAATAAAAAAGATTAGCACACCCCTTGTCCCATAGTTGCTTGCACTTTTCAGAAGTCTGGGACACCAAATGCGAAGGCTGGGGGTCTGCTCCCTTTGCACAATTTAACACCAGACAATAATTTTATGCGTGCGAATGAAAAGCGTGAAGTACATGTGAGCTGCATCTTCCCACGTGAGCGTACCTCATGGCACCCCGTGAAGTGCCTCGCCGAGCGCAGGGGAAGTTCCGGTCCTTTGTCCGGGAAAGTGGCAGGGAAGATCTCCCCACTCTTGATGTTCACCCCTGAAAGCGGGACGGCAGGAAGCAGATCAAGAAAAGCAAACATTCTTTGTGTACTTTTTGACTAGTCGAGTAAACGTACCGGGTGTTCCAGCAAATACACAAAAACATTCCTACCACTAGGGTTGGTGGTGAAAGAGAGACTCTTTCGGGGACAAACTGCCAGCAACGGCGAACGTCAGGGATTGCAAAAAAACACACTAATTAGCTAAATGGTTAACCAAGCTTTACTAATTAACTTTTTAATTTGTGAAGATAACCATATGATTCCAAACTAGAGACTTGCTGAGCGATGCAAAAAAGAGGATCAGGATATCATCCGCCATTTTGCACTGCCAGCCTTGTGCTTGCTGCATGAGTGGTAACTTAAACGCACTCTCACACTTCACATCTCCTTTAAGCCTCCCTAAAATCGATAGATTTGGGTTTTTTGATGATGCTCAGCAGGTGTCTAATAAAAACCATGTCTGTTTTCACTAATTAGAAAGTGAACGAGTAAATATTGGTTACTCGTTTAGTTAATTAATATGTTTCTTGCAGTAACTGACGTCTGCCATGGCTGGCAGTTTGTTCCCCCAAAACGTTTTGTTTTTTCTCAACCACAGTATCGATAGGAGTTTTTCGGTTTTCTGTATACAGTTGAATCTCAAATTCAAACTCTCTTAATTCGAACTTGCGGATAATTCAAACTAACATGCAGGTACCATCTTATGCGTCTCTATGGGAGGAAACTCGCGGTAATTCAAACTCGGCTTTATTTAAACGAATGTTCGGTCCCCCTCGAGTTCAAATTAACGAGATATGACTGTATAAAGAACACAAAGAGTGCCACAGGCAATGACAAGAACAAAAACTGCTTGTCCTGCTCACTTCTGCTTATCCTTATCTGTAGCACTGCCTGTCTTCTTGAACAAACATCCTGTTTGTGAAGTAATCAATGTCCAGTTCAAGCCTGCACACCTGCATGTTTATACTGCTAGGAAAATCAATACTAGCTCATCAATAAAGGACAAGATTTGACCTAGGGTTAATCAATATGGAAGCACAGCTACTGTCAACCATCATTTCAGTGCATGTTGCATGGGAGCTTTTGTGCCAACCATAACAACCCTGTGCTGTCTCAGTGCCTGTCTTTATTCCAAACTGCAAAATGACTTGGACTGCGCGACCAACATTGTGCTTCTATGGCTTTCTCCGCTTGAGGCACTTGGGGCTAACCGGGAGAAAAGATCGGGTCCACTCACCGATGCCGTAGATGGTAGGCCAGTTGAGATTCCCACGAAGCACATTGTTCAGCTCTGAAAGCGTGGTTACAGAGAAGGAGCAGGATCATGTTCCAGCGGCTACAACGACCGAGGGTTGGAATAACAGTAGAACTGGAGTCACTCAATGAGCCACACTTAAAATGTCGGCACTCTATCCCCTCTGTTTGTGTCGTGGGTGTCGTCATTCTGTTACCGAAAGCACAGCGGGTGCAGCTGACAACAGTTACGATTAGAGAATGTGACTTTCCGAGCTTAAGTTCACAGACTGTTCCGTGATTTCTGGAAGACGGAAAAGTGCCTCCTGCAATTTCGGAAAACGCTTAGAATAACTGGCACCGACGATTTTAAGAAACAAGACAGCCAAAGTGTTGCTTGTCTGAAGCGCAGCTTGTTAACCGTAATATCCCACACAAACGTTCAACTTTCCACGGGAGGTAATTGGGAAAAAAGGCAGATGGGCAAGTCTGCAAGATTCGCCCATTTGCCTTTCTGAAAGAATGTTTTCTATTACGAAGCCTGCTGCTTGCATACACACAATAAACACCATTGGCGTTGGGCCAAGTTGGGCGCCTTGTCAATCACAAGGAGCAGGCAATTGTGCAACTTTCTTGTTTGGTGCATACACGCGTGCGTCCGAAGGCTTGTAAAAAGAAAGGGCTGCCCAGGTTTCCCCAGTTCTTCGGAGTCGCTCTTTCCGGAAGGTGGGCAATATGTCAGGATTTTTCAGACATAGATGTTTGGACATAAGAAAGGGGGTGGGCCAAAGTTCGAGGGTCGGCGTACGTTCAAGATATTACGGTAGTGGCCGTTGATATGTTCCCAGTTAATACATACTTATTCGACTGAAATATTTCACAAATGCCAGTCCAGTTGAACTCCCGTAGCACCGATCTCCCTTTCGTTAACTGGCTTTGCAGTTCTGATGTAAAAAAAATGTTTTGTGACATGGTCAAAGCACCACATTCCATTCACGTCCACTCCCCCCCCCCCCCCCCCCCCCCTTTTTTCGACTCTTTGCCTCTCAGCACTAAGCGTAGACTGAATTCCTTCGAAGACTGAACCAGGCTTGAAATTCCAGTTTCTGCAACAGCCCGTTCATCTTTCCGTCTCTTTCCCCTTCACACACACACGCTTCTGTGGCACTCATTTTCCTGCGGTCCTGCTAGTTTCAGGTCACCATAGTCCTTAGATCTCCTGGTCTGGAATCTTTTAATGCAAAAGCATGAACTGTCCCATGGAGCGAGCTGACGTCATCAGTTTGAAGCGCATAAACGGCACCTAGTTTCTGCGAACCCAATAGGAGTGAAGTAAAGCTGATAGATTTCGCCTTCGGCTCCACTGGCTGGTGCGCGTCGATGGGGCTCCCTCCCATTGGCTGCTGCGCTTGTTAGTTTCCACGACCGCTAACCCCATGGCGCTGCGTGTCCATCAGCGCGCCGTTAAAACGGAGCGTCCAAGGTCAGCGTGCCCAGGGGACAGGATGGCCAGTTCCGCTTATTATAAGCGGATTTGGGCTTGTTTTTTCACTGAGTCGCTGGTAGATTTTTCTAGTCGCTTGTCGCATTTTTTCTGCAAATATGGTTATTTTAAGGCTCGTCATGCTCACTGACAGTGCGTTTGTCGTCAAAAACGCGAAAAACAGCATGACCGTTTGGCGCAGTGGTTAGATGGCGCAAGCTACCGTCCGTCACAAAGTACAAAACTATTACTATCCATTAACAAATGTTTTGGCACTTTGTTCATCTTGCCAGTCGGCAGTTGCGGTCGTCGTGTCTAGTTGTCATTGCATTTTGCACAAAATGGCTTCGAAGTGGTCGAAGTATGGCAAAAAATATTGTAAAGAGTGGGAAAAGGAAACACAGCTTAAGGACTGGCTACGACCAGTCACCGGAGACGATAAAAAAGCAGCGTGCAAGTACTGCAAGTGCGAGATCCGCGCTCATCATGCCGACCTCGTTCAGCACATGGCAACAGAAAAACACGTCAGGAACTTCTCGGCCCCTTTCCAGTGCACGTTTGACTACCATGGGCTTCACCAAGTCGTCGCCTTCAAGAACGATACCAGAACTGGAGCTCAAGCTGGCATGCTACTCAGCGTGCCATGCCACGCTCTGTGGATAGTGGCATGGCGCGCTGAGTATTCACCTTCGTATTGGAGTGAGTTCTTTTTTGCATTTTATTCTTAATAAACTATTGTCATTAATGTGTACATTTATTGAACTTCCACTTGTTTTGGGCTTCTTCACGAAGGTCACGCCGCTTTTTTTGGGCTTGGTTGGGGACGACTATCTGCGTGTTCGCTCGGCCGCATCTGGCCACCCTGCAAGGGGAGCACACGCGCTGACTGGCGACGAAAAGTATGTAGCGGACAAATAAGGGAGCGGACGAGCGGCTTGCATGCTTTCGCTTTCACAACTCATAAGAAGTGCTTAGGTGTACCTCGAGCCTTTTTTTTTACATTGTGAGAAAGTTTACCCTAGAGAAAGAGGGAAGTACCAGAGGCGTGCTTCCGGCTTAGGAAGCCAACCAATCGGATCGCTCGGAAAGCATGGCGGATGGACACGGGTTTGGAGAAGTCATCGTGAGAAAAGTCACTGGATGCGTCATCTCATAACAAAAAAACCCAGACCCATTGAAAAGACACACGATTGCAATTGACATCCACACTTGAGACCTAGGGGTCATATCATTTCGGAATGGCTGAAACATTGATTATGTGAAGGGTGCAACATCTGCACTAAAATAAAAAAATATTAAAACTTCTCAAGATTTTTTTTTTACTTCGTTTTTTGGCATTTTTTTGGGACTCCCACTTCTATCAGCGCCGCTCGTGGTGGCAAAGTTTACTAGGGCAAAAACCATCGAAGTCTCCAGACCAGTAAGTAGTGGGCATGACGCAAACAGCAAGTGGACGCATCCTTGCAAGATGGTGCCACAGTGGCGGGTGTAGAACCGGAGAGCCTAAATTTAGGAGGGGGAGCAACTCAAATTATGAAGAGTGTTTGCAATTTAATGGCAGACGCCTCCCAGGCAGATTGGTCGCGAGAGTGCATGCGTTGCATGGAGAGGAAGAAAACGGGCGAAGAGGCAGAAAAGCTTGCAGACGAAGGTCTTCGTCCCCTCCTTGCAGCTCGTATTGAAAACACAGCCCATAGACCATGCAACACCGATTGGGCAGTTGTCAACTTTGAAATCTAGGCACACTATACACCTTTCCAAAAAACGTTCATAGGCCGCCGCCGATTGCTAATGCTGATGCGGCTGGTGCGACTCTTATACCCTCTATCAGCTAGAACTTTTCTGCCACTCTCTTGGATTGTGAAAACCCCCCCCCTCAGCACGATTCTCTACCTATGTTATAAGTGTTTTGCATTCTACGTTTTCTGGCCCCCCTTAAAAGTTTCCACTTTTTTATTTTTACTGCTGCATACCCTTTCTGTGTTATCTTCCACTGTGAGAAATAGGGCTGGTAAGTGCCTGCCATTCAAGCTTTTCTGCTCGAAATTCACGGGAAACGAAGGAGGGGAGGGACGTCGAAAGGCGCTCGACGCGACTATGCTAACAATGATAATTGTTCTCCCCCTCCCAGAGATTAATCGAGTTGAGTCCTCAGTTATCTCCAGAAATAGTTGTCCGGGTCAGGGTGGGAAACGGGTCAGTCGAGTTCGTTCCTCTGCCTTGGTGGTGTTGTGAAAAAAAGGAAGCTCTCCCCAAAACGTGCCCCAAAACGAAATCATCTTGGATTCCGTCCAATCGTCAAGATGTGACTGTCATCGACTGTGACTGTGTTATTTGAAATCTTTCTCAAATAAATTCCTTTCGGATAACGCTGCATCGTGTGGTACGTACGATATACTGTTTGAATGTTAACACTCGCTAAATTGTATGCCCGGGTCCTCTCCATCGGTAAACATGTTATTTGTGAGCTTGAAAAATACATGCCTCTGAGCTGGCTACCTTCTGTTTTAAATTAATTTTGACAGCTAAGCGCTTTTTTGTTTTACACGTGGCGAATCGAGCGGCGCCGTCAAAACTTATCGTAAAAAAAAAGTGACAACTAATATTTTACTCGCATTCGTTCTGTCGTGCGAGTATCCAACAAAAATAGTTTACAAGCTTCTTTTTGCATTTTTTTTTTTTTTAATATGGTACACTGCTTTTTTAATGTATTAGAAAAATACATGCACCATGAAACACAAAATACAGCAGGAAAAGACGAGAATTTAGCTGCCAGCAGTGTTTGAAACTGCGCCTATGCAGGCTGTGCATATTGAAATCACAGTCCACTCGGTTAGAGTTAGCAGGGACTCCAGTGAGAGTCTAGCCTCAAACCCAATGACTGGGCTTGAAAACAGTTTGCTGCCCCTGGGGTCAAGCGTTTCTTGGAAATGTGTATATAACACACTTCTTGCAAGAGCCAAAAGATGGTGCACGCGAAGCAAACGAGAGCGGGGGAACACAAAGCAGACTCGCGTAAAACGTCACAATGGTTCAATTGGGACACGCGGTCCAGCGTCTTGGTGGCGTGCATAAATAAAAGTTCCGGTTTATCCGTGTTTACTTCAAACAGCAATGTTGTCTTAACCGAAGAGAAGGTCGCCAGCTTGTAGAACGTGACAGTAGTTTATCTAGGAACCTCAGTTTTACATAATTAAGGGCTGCAATAGCATAGTGCCATTTCGGTGCAGCGCTGAAAGGTGCTACGCTGCCTGTGGGATGTTTGAGAAAAATAAATGGCTTCGATTCGGATTAGCATTAACTTTGCTGTTATAAACAGCTTTCTGCTACTGTAGTGTTAATTTATACGTTATACTTCTGGTTTCATCCCAATTAAAGACCCCCTGAAACCATTTGCAAACCTTTGTTTTTAAAAAGAAAAGCGTGTTTGTTAGTCTTGGTGTCGTGTAGCAAAGAGACGGTTACGCGAAGCACATCGCACTTTCTGCAGACGTACAGAATGCATGGATCATGCTTTGTGCAATTTTATGCACTTTTCCAGATTTCTTGGACAAAAGTAAGAACAAGGTTTGTTTTGTACTCAAAAGAGAACAAGAATGACACCTCAAAAAGTTCACTTTTTAAATTAGTCGGAATGCATGGAACTCAGTCTGTAAAAGTCAGCATCCTTGACCAGGCATCACGCTTCACACTGCTTGCTTCTACACCCACTAATGTCAATAACGATGAAACGTAAACTTATTTTTTTAAACTTTGGTTCTTTTATGATCATCTCGAGACATTTTTACGACTGATGTCCTTTTCGGGGTTCAAACTGTAGCTCTAGCAATCAAAGTGCACAATTCGGGCATATATCAATTTGCGCCATCCCATTATGTCAGAAAACTGCAAAAGCAAGGCACTGAGTACTCACCACAGATGCAAGCTGTCACAAGATGCAGATTCACAGGCTGCTTATGAAAGGCATCTGAAAAGATTAGCGGGAAAATGTTGCAAGATGATCCCCTTAAAGGGCAACTCGCTTCATTTTTGTTTTTGAGAGAACAATGCGGAACTATATTCAGTACCACTTAGGACGATCATACGTCAAATATTACGACCTAGTTCTGTCTAAATGTTTCTTAAACGGTCAAGCAAACTTTGGAACATGCCAAGTTGACGAAATCGGCAGACTCTGGCGGGTGAATTGAGGTGCAATTAACAGTGCAGTCAGGGTTACGGTGTTGGCGTAGTCAGCATTCAGCTGAACGTCATTAACATTGCTACTCTTTGCTTGTTTTTACTTCTCCAGGCAAGAGTAACATGCGACGTTAGCAGCGTCTCCTCTTGGCATGAACCAATTGCATTGGCTCAGCCCTGTCCACGTGATAGGTGTAACGCGCCTGTGCAGCGCGCTTCTCAGCCTTGGGAACCACCCAGCTGTCCCACCATCTCCCAACCGCCGTCGTCGTCTCGCCGTCTTGCAGACTGTGATTATCGTTTCTCGGAGTTTCGTTCACACCTCGTGCACAGAGTAATGCCGCAATCAACGTTACTGGATCGGATAAGTTGACAAGCTTCGAGAAAAAAGTGACGCGCTGCCGTTCACCGCTGCGTAGCGGCACTCGTATCCAAGCCCGCCCGACCCGTTCAGTCTGATTGGCCTCTCTACCTGTGGATACGCAGTGAAACATTGTTTCTGTGTGGGTTCACAAAGTGTATTCCTAAGGATTGTTGCCAGTGCGATTATGTCCGGATTGAGACAACATTTCCTGGGACTTTTGAAGTAAAGTTATGCCAGCTGGGCCTTCGTAGTTTCGGCAGTTCTTGACATTTGGCACCGAGGCAAGCAACTCGGAGAAATGGCTGCGTCTATCATTTGTGGTTTCCGGCACATGGTATTTTGGTCTTTTGCGGACTAAAATACCGTAAACTTCCCTCTTCTGGTGTTCTGTGTATGAGTCAGAAATTCAAGTGTAGAATGCCAATTTGAAGACGTCTTCGTCATTTGAAGCAAGCGGGCTGTTTTTGTATTTGTATTCGGCTACATCCAGGCCTGCTAGTGGTAAAAACAACTCAGTTATTTCTCTCGTGTGTTCTTTACGTGTGTGACAACCTCGGTTCCTTGGGTGTGCGTGCCATTTCGGAGACGTGTGACTAAGCGGTAAGAATTTCAAGATATCACTTCTGATCAGCTGATCAGCGCGGATTTGTGTTGTATACTTTGGAAGTTTGCGTGTGAACGTGCGGTAGATATTAGAACCGTTATTTCACAGTACCTGCTACAGCTTTGTGGCAACAGTTAATGAATTGTAACACGCTCTCGTTTTCTATGTAAAATGAGTTCATTTGTACAGTCGAAGCTCGTTAATTCGACTCCCGTTATTTCGATCATCGCGTTAATTCGATCCTTCCGTTTAGCACCGTCAGAAATGTACATGATTCAATAGGCAGAAAACCCCGGTATTTCGATCTGATAAATATCCCCAACCCGATAATTCGTCCCGGGAGCCAGCATCTTCGTAACCGGGAAATACTTTTTTAAGCTAACACTATAAGTTTAAAGGTTAAAACGGCGCCTCAGAACACAACACGCGTCCCTACCCATATTGGCAAACAGCCGTTGCAGCGAGCCCGCGCCTGATTGCGACACCTCCACAGACGCGCGATGCCCGTCGGCGCCCCCGACGCCTCGAGCCGGCGCGCGCTCCGCGAAGGGCGCCCGCGCAGACAGGCGCCCTTTCGCCGGCGCATCGCGCCGGAGAAAGGGCCGATTTGATTAGTCGAGGTAAGACCCAGTCAGAGCGCACCGGCCCGATCACGTGGGGAGGCGCGAGGAAGGAGACGGGAGCAACGAGAGGGAAATGAGTGAGCGATGAAGTGAGAAAGAACGTCGGGAGGATGGAGAAGGAGACTGGAGAAAAATGAGCGAGCGATGAAGAGTGACCGTGCTGACCGTGCTGTCGCGCGGTTCCTGGTTTCTGTTCTTTGGAGTGCGCGGCGTTTAACGCTCATACCGGAAAATGTCGAAAGAAAAGCGAGGAAAGTACTCTTCGAATGATTTAAAAACAAAAGTTCACATAGTCAACGAAGTTAGGGAGGGAAAATTGTCCAGAAAAGAAATTGCCGAAAAGTATGACCTCAAGAAAAGCACGCTTGCTACCTACATTAAGAATGAAGCAGCAATCGTGAAAGCTTTTGAAGAAGAGCAATTTGTGAATTCAAGAAAACGCCTTCGCAGTGCAGCCCATCCAGAACTCGAAGAAGCCGTTTACAAATGGGTGACAGAAGTAAGAACGCACAACCTTCCGATGACTGGAGACATGATTCGCGCAAAGGCTCAACAGTTCAGCGAACGTTTGGGCATCGAGGGATTCCGTGCTTCCGAGGGATGGCTCGCAAGATTCAGGGAGAGACACTCTCTTATTTTTAAGCACGTGTGTGGTGAAAGAGCCGATGTGGATGAAGATTTGTGTGAAAACTGGAAGACTTCGGTGCTCGCACGTATTCTTGCGGAGTATGCGCCCGAGGACATATTCAATTGCGACGAAACGGCGTTGTTTTTCAAAGCTCTCCCCGACAAAACGATAACGTTCAAAGGGGATCCTTGCACTGGGGGAAAACGCAGTAAAGAGCGGGTGACCGTGCTCGTGGCAGCCAACATGATAGGCACGGAACGTCTGCCTCTATTGGTGATCGGGAAATCCAAGACGCCACGATGCTTTCGAAACATCCCGCGGCTTCCAACGGACTACCGTTTCAACAAAAAAGCTGGATGACACGTGCGATCTTTTAAGATTGGCTTCAAAAATTGAACCGCCAGTTCGCGTCCAAGGGGCGCAAGGTCGTGTTAGTAGCGGACAACTGCAGTGCACACACAAAAATGCCAGAGCTGTCTATGATCCGCCTGATTTTCCTTCTACCCGCAACCACCTCACTCTTGCAACCAATGGATCAAGGAATAATCAAACACCTGAAAGGCTTGTACCGCAAGCATCTCATGGCAAGAATGTTGCTTTGTCTGGACCAGGGTAAGCGCTATGAAGTCACTCTGTTGGCGGCGATTCATATGCTTGTTAAAGCTTGGACGGACATGCCAAGCCAGGTCATCGCGAACTGCCTTCGTCACTGTGGTTTCTCGTGTGATGGAAATACCGCGAGTTCGACGACTGCATCGGTTACTACGTCTACATCGGCAACTGCATCGGCTACAACATCGGCAACCACAATTGAAGATGAAACTTTGACGAAGAGTGCAGTGCTCTAATGTCCGCCCTACCCGAAAACGTTAGTTTCGATGATTACGTTGCGATAGATGATGGAGTGCTTGTGTACGGTCAATTGACTGACGACGAAGTCATCGCATCGGTTCAGCATCCCGAGGGTCAGGAGGACGACAGCTGCGAGAGTGACGCCGAAGAGCCGCCGCCACGCCCATCTCCTGCCGAAGCATCCGCTGCGCTCGATGTACTTGCGAACTTCGCAACGTTTGAAGACACCGACGGGACGATGTGGCCGCACATTGAGGATGTGCGGAAATTTGTTTTTGCGAAGCGTCTGACGGGAATGCGGCAGCAGAAAATATCGGCGTTTTTTTCGAAATAAAACTCCGTCGTCGCGGTTGGCTTTTCGCCGCTTCTCGTGACGTACGTCGTTACTCGTTTTTGATCGATATTCGATAATTCGACTCTTCGATAATTCGATCTATTTTCGAGGAACCGTCAGAGTCGAATTAACGAGCTTCGACTGTATAGGCATGTGCATGGTCCATGTGCCTGACAGCAACATGCTTGTTGGCGTGTTTATAAGCGCGCATTGACTTAAAATCGCTTTACGTTAACCGTTGCAGTTGTGCTTAAAATAAATTTATAATAATGTTGTTTTATTGATCTCACGACGCTCCTCCGATCTATTTCAACTCAAAATAAAGACATTTTGAGCAACTCTGAGAATTCAACATACCGTAAAATACCGAGCTTTCACCCATTTTACAATGAGCGCCCATCCGTCAATTTTTGAACACTCGGAAAATACACAAAGCACATACCTTAACATATTGCTGAGCTAAAGAGTGCCCATCCCCCAGTTTTACATGATTAACTAAAATTTTTTCAGTTTGTTGTAAAGCGAATGCACTTCTATGCGGCAGACATGAATCGACAGATGACGGAGAAGGCGGTAGTAGCAAACAAGAAAGCTCGGGTCCTGGGATAGCCAACTACAGGTATTTTTAGCCTCGGTGTTTCACATTCTGGTCACAATTTTTTCATTGAAGAGAAATAAATAGGGGTGTGCGAATACCGAATAGTAGTTATCAAATCGAATACCAAATCAAATTACAAGAAAAAAAGCCGAATATCGAATAGTGATTTTATTTGTAGGAATTTTTCAAAGTGTGCTGCGAATGAAATGATTATATGTGCAGAGTATGCGCCTGGTGCAGAATGTGCATCTCGTACAGAACAGAAGCTAAAATTTATAAAAATTCTGGTGGAAAAGAAAAGAAAAGCAGCTGGTGATGGACGTGGGGCACTAAAGATTCAATTTTATGGCGCAAACATAATCTATCTACCCTAAGCATCACAAAAAACCCAAGGTTACAGCCACACATGCCTTTTTCTTTTTAAAAGCACGAACTAACACCGCGACATGTCCTTCTTTATTTCTGTATATCTCAAAAAAGGGGCATTTTGCAATGTTTGATCTCAATTTTAAGGGCAAAAACGGGCACCCGGGATTTTATTTTAATAAACAGATAGGCGTTAAATCTGAGTAAACAGGCTTAAACAATAAAAAATGTGTGGTTAGGTGGCGCAAGTCACCGTCCAATAGCCGCTATGCATGCATTCCTTTGTCCATCTATCCTGTTTTAGAGAGTCTACATTTAAGAGGGAGCAAGCGAAACAGAAACAATGGAGACGGCTCCTGCGCAGATTGGTCGTAAGTGTGTGTGTGTTGTGTTGTCGCATGGAAAGAAGGCGAGCAAGCGAAAGAACGACAACGCCTGCCCCAAATACTGCCCGATCGATGCTTTCGTCTTTTCGTCACCTTCTCGCAGTTCGTATTTCAAACGCAGTATCGAATGGTTGGAAACACTCTCAAATCTAGGCACTTTATTTTTCCCATTCCGTTTTGTTTCTGAATTCGAACTTGCGGCTTGCGGTTCCAAAACAACGACCTCAGACAACGACGACGATAACTCTGCTGGTTTCATCGGCTTGGTTAATATGGTTTCTTTTTGTGATCTTGCAGTGGCCGATTTCTTGAAAAGAAGGTTCCCTGAAAACACCTTGTGACAAGAGAAAGAAGGCAGAAGAACTCACAAAGCAGCTGATTGGCCAGCGTCTCGGAGTAACCTCTTCTGTCCAGAAAGCCCCCGACGATGTAGACCTCGAACCTGCGCAGAAGCAGTCAGAAATTCGCTGATGCCCAACAGATTTTGACAATCAAGTCAAATCACATCAGATCTTCATACAACATCAGAAAGATGTTGAGGGCACGGGTAAAAAGCCGTATAGACTGTTCCTTTAAGGACCATCTGGGTGGCACCATTTTGTTTGACTGCAGTGCAATCTACATACATTGGGGCACTTTAACAGAATCGTTGAGGTTGAAGAGGCAAAGGGCGTGCACCCGGTCCCACTGGCCGTCTTCTGTGGGCATTGCAACCAATTCGCCGGGGTAACACAGGGAAAGGGCAGTGCAGATCCAGTGGGCTGTACCGCCGGAACTGCCCAAACGTGGAGGCTCATTTCCCTTTCTCTATTCACTCTAGCAGAGTGGTCTATATTGGAGGCTTGACTAGAAGCCTCTCCTATGCGCCTTCAAGTCTAGCAGCAACAATGCGACCCACCTTCCAGAGCAAGAAAACAGGCATAAAATGGGAAAGAAGCACATGACAAATAATGTCAGAAAATTTGTCTGCTACAATCATTCGACGGCGGTGTGGAAATAAAGACAAAAGGCTTTTGCTTTGTCGTGGAGAGCATAATAAGTGTTGTGCCACTGATTAACCAGACTTCTTGGTTTTTTATAAAAGAAAAAAAAAGCTAGTGGACTTTAGAAAAAAAATATTAATTGGGTGCACCATATAATTGCCTCACACAATTTTTTTTTTAGATGTTAGTGACTTTTTGTATTGGAGGAAGCTAAAGGAGATTTTCAATTTGTCTTGTTACATCAAGAACTCAATTCAGGTGCCATAAGCATCCTAAAACATCCACAACCGTGCTCCAAGATCGCTGGATGATCACCGGTACATTCTAGCGCTGCCCTGCCAATACCCCCTCCACATCTCCCCGGCCTCACCAGCTGTAGCTACCTACCGGTGGCTACAGCTATGTACCAAAGATTTAGTTTATAGACCTACTTTGTTTATCTTCGTCCACAGCCACATAGTTTCAGTATCCGGTATGAGGACAAAAAGAAGCCAGACCTTATGGGTGTACAATGGTTGATTGAACAACATTTCATCGAAACATGTTTTAGAGAACGGGCACGTTCGATCGAAGCTTGGCTTAGAAAAAGCGGAACCTCAGTTTAGAGAAATGCCTTTTATCGAAAAGGGGACGCTGCTTAAAAAAAGGCTCCCCTACTTTGCGCGTGTAACACTGGGGCACGCGTTAACTCACCCTGCCCGCCCGCTCACGTCGCTTCGCAACGACAGTTTGCGGCGGCTCATTACAAAAATGTTAACTGCGGCCGAATACACTAAAAGGCCGCTCATCGCCATTTTCTCTAAACTGAGCTCCTCTGTGAGGTGAATTGATGAAGCGGCATTCTCTAAAACTAGCTTCTCTATACTGCACGCCTCAAAGACCTTACACCGTAGAAAAAACGCAAAAACAGGATAGAAGAGGTGAAACAAAAATGAGTGAAAGTCACGACTAAAATGTGATCCCTTCCCAGTGTCGTGGCAAGAGCAATACAAGGTTCTACCCTATATCCAAAAGTTTTGCAATTTGAGATGGCAACACCTAAGTATGGAAAAAATCTACATACAGCATGTCAAAAAAAGTAAAAATAATTCACACCAATCTTTTTTTAATTGCAGAAACGAGTGACACACCCCACAATGCCGAGCATCTGCCCAAATGCAGGGCTGGCAGTACAAACCAGATGCTAAAGTTTAAGAACTGTCCGTCGTCCGATAGGGTAGGTTGGCATTGGGGGCACATGGGAATACACCAAATGAGGGAGTACAGGGGTATATGGGATGGGCGTCTTTCGAGAGTAGAGAAGCGATCAGTAAAGTAAAACTTGAACAAAGACTAGCTGCAATTGAGGATACGCGGTGGGCAGCGAAAGTGTACAAGTATTTATATATGAAAAGTCTAAACACAAAGTGGACAAACCGAACCCGCAAGCTGAGATCTAAATACATTCAACGAGATGGGGCCGATCAAAGTGTATTAGTAGAAAAGGGAATAAAGGAAACAGAGAGGAAATTGTGGAAAAAGAGAATGCAGGGGAAATCAAATATACAGGGCACAAATACAAGAAATAAAGAAGGAACAGTTGTATGATAATTCATTGGGGAGCTCATTACTGTTTGAAGCTAGAACGGGGGTGCTAAGAACCAAAACATACAGGGCTAAATAAAAACCACGAAAGGGAAACGATAGAACACGTAATTTTAAAGGGGCACGGAAACAAAAATTGAAATATTCAAATTTCGTTCGGAAATGAGTCAAGCATGACGGATAATAACCGTAAATGATAATCGCACATTTGTATTTTGAACGATTGGCTATATTTTTCGTTCCAAACGGTGCACTCGAGCCAGCGCTTGAAGAGAAGCGAACGGACAGCGCGATGCTTCATGGGATATCAGGCGCAAACAAAAACAGAAAGAAAATATTCCCCGCATTCATGACATAGCAAGGCTGGAGAGATTATGAGCTTTGCCCTTGGTGGCGTTGTCAGCGTTGTGGTACTGTAAATAGCGTCAGCGCGTTCCAACCGATCCGTTCGAAGTACCCGTGGGGTGACGAGCGTCTGGCTGGCCCAAGGAGCACGTAGCTTCCACAGCACTGTCAGCTTAGGGCTGAACGGGATGGGGAAAGCGGCACATTGATACTTTAGACCCATGTTGTTGTAAAAAAAACTATCTCCAAACTCTGGTCTAAAAACATGCTTTTCGTGCAAGGCTCGTCAAATTATGAGGCGCTGGAGAAATGCAGCCTTCTGCGTTAAGTCCTTATTTCGAACTCTTTTTGTTCGCCTTCCGCCCATTGAAAAGCATGCGGGAAGGGCCTTAGAACGCATCTGGTATCGCTACGCCGCAGCGTTCTTCCGCATCAAAACGTTTGTCTGCTTTCCTCGCCGTCACCATGGCAACGAACGCCGAATGAATAGAAGCACGCACGGTACCGCCGCGTGAAGCCAGCAACAGCTGACGCCATTTTACGAACGCCGTCTGCTAGCCAAAGCCGAACGCGGTGTGTCAGATCAACCGCCTCCGCCGGTGCGCCGCTAGCAAAGACGACGAAGCTGAGGCACGCCGACGGCGATCGAGCAAGCAACAACACCGCGGGACGACTGCAACGGCGGCATTTATTCGGATCAAAGGCCGCCTTCGCCGGTGCGCCGCTAGCACAGACAACGAAGCTGAGGCACGCCGACGGCGAATGGGCGAGCAACAGCACCGCGGGACGACTGCAACTGCGGCATTTATTCGGATCAAAGGCGCGAAATAAGCAAGAACAATTTTTATTTGAATCATCACACGCGATATCCCAGTTGGGGACCACATACCTTTGCTGGGTCTTTCCTGTGAACTTTTTACAGAGACACGGGGTGCCGCATTCAAAACACAGCTCTGTTTGCAAAATATGGGGGCCCTGAAAAGGACCGTTTAGACTGCTACCAGAACCTATAACTGACATAACGAGCACTTGACGAGCGGTTGGCGCATAAGTCGCCTTTATGCACGCAGGCGGGCGACGGGCTCAGCGCAGCGGATCACTCGAAGTCACCGGGGCCGTCAGAATCCTCGTCCTCCGCACTATAGGGAAGATTCCTGTCTGCGTCGGGGCTATAGATTTTGGCGGCCGCGGCGACGAACGACTGAAATCTGTCAGTGTTTCCGCGCGCCTTCTCTCTCCTCCAAAACATGAACTTTGCAAGGTGACCAGTGAAATGGTGGCTCTCGCGCCGTCCAGATGGAAGAGAGTTTTTGACGTGGGCCCAGGTGCCCTCCACCGTATTGGTGTGCGCACCAGTGTTCGGGTCGACAAAGTGCAGCTTGTGGTTAACGGTGAGGTGCGTGAAGCGAGCGTCATCTGCAAGCTTGCGATAGCCAGCCCAACAATCTGTGATTATTCTTGTTCCAGGGCGGACCCACTTGGCTATTAGCCCTAGCAGGGTATTAGCGTCACGGGTCTCCACGGGAACAAGAAAGCAGCACCCGCTGCCACGCTCCACACCGCCGAAAACCCACTGGCCAGGCCTTAAATACCCGCGATGGTACTTTCGCCGCCCGAACATACTCTCGTCTAGTTCTACAGTCACGCCTTCGCCGCCAATCATCTCTGAATGCGTAAAGACGGCATTTACCACAACCTCCCGACAAAGGCTCGTCCAATCAGTTATTGTCTTACTTGCGACATCAGTCTCCCGCTGAATGACGGCGCACGGTAGGTTCTGGCACCAGAGGTAGATGATCTTCATGAGTTGGGGAAGCGTCAGGTGCGATCCCTCGAAAAAGGAACCGCTCCGTACCGAGACCTCGCCCCGGCACTGAACCTTGACCGGCTTCCTCTTGGGCACCTCACGAGTCATCCACAAACCGCATCTCCACGAATACCCATCCGCAGATCTAGCGCGGACTTGCAGCGTCATCGCAGCTTCGCACTCTGGGCAAGCACGAGAAGCCAGGAGCAGGCCCATGCCCTGAAACAAATTAATTGCTTCAAGAGGGTCTTTCATGGCGTCATGAAGACGGCACAAGTTAAACGCCATGGCACTGCGACGCTCGCCTCTGGAAGAATAAAGCGCCACGGGGGCTAAACGAGCAGAAATGCGCGCTTCTTTGCATTTATTATTTTTATTTGATCCGCCTTTTTATACCTCGTGACACCCTTCTAACAAACTGATTGGCTAATCGGTCGGGCCATGTCATCGCGTGACAAAAGAAACGCCAATCGTATGACCAGAACGGTTGCCACGGTCGGCATCGTTACAAAGAAGAGAACAGTCGGACCCAACAACAAAATAAAGTAACAAAAAGAATAAAAAAAAAAGAAAAAAAAAGAAGGGAGCCGTTTTCGGGCGGCGTGTTCTTTGATGAAAGGTGTTGCTCGCAATGGTTACTTGTTTTTCTTTTTTGTTTCTTTACCCTAGAGAATGCCACGTCTTTCATTTGAAACAAACCGTTGAAACGAAGGAGGGAGGGAGTCTTGGCGTCAGAATTCTTGAAAAGAGCCTCATGACGCCGCCAACGCCGCCGACGACCGTTAGCCTATTTATTTTGTTTCTTTAGACTTTTATCGCGACCACTACTCCACCGTGCCTCAGATTTTCCAGCGAAGGTCCGGCAGTTTTTAATAATTATTAGTATTGTCGTTTGAAGGGCACTCTTTTTATGCTGCTTCGTTTTCGTTCCTGACGCCATAAAAATATGGGCGGAAAAAGTTTGCCCTACGTAAAAAAAAAAAAAAAAACAAAAAAAAAGTTTAGTTCAAGGTCGGATTGGTTTGTGGATGCAATTAGTCCAATAATTAATTAGCCCAATTATTTATTTTTGTTATTAGCATCTTTTGTGTGCATGCGTGAAATGCAGCACCCAACGATATGACATGAGAAGAACGCTGCAAGTGCTGGACCATAGACCATTTAATGTCACCAAAATCCTGGGCCGGAGAACACTTGGAGGTATTAGTGTATCGTTTTGAAAGCGCTACAAAAACACGTCGGGGACACTGAACTTCTGGACCAACTTTGAGTGCGTGAGCGTGTGATGTGTGTGTATGGCATTCTTTATTTTTAGACTGTAGGCGCGAAAAATCCACACGGACTAGGGTCTGAGTAATGCAGAGTCTAGGCCAACATCTAGGTGCTGTTACTCATTCCCTAGTCAGTGTGGATTTTTCGCGCCTATAATCTAAAAGAGAAAGAATATTTTTATGGCGTCAGGAACGAAAACGAAGCAGCATAAAAAGAGTGCCCTTCAAACGACAATACTAATAATTATTAAAAACTGCCGGACCTTCGCTGGAAAATCTGAGGCACGGTGGAGTAGTGGTCGCGATAAAAGTCTAAAGAAACAAAATAAATAGCCTAACGGTCGTCGGCGGCGTTGGCGGCGTCATGAGGCTCTTTTCAAGAATTCTGACGCCAAGACTCCCTCCCTCCTTCGTTTCAACGGTTTGTTTCAAATGAGGGACGTGGCATTCTCTAGGGTAAAGAAACAAAAAAGAAAAAAGAGTAACCATTGCGAGCAACACCTTTCATCAAAGAACACGCCGCCCGAAAACGGCTCCCTTCTTTTTTTTTCTTTTTTTTTTTTATTCTTTTTGTTACTTTATTTTGTTGTTGGGTCCGACTGTTCTCTTCTTTGTAACGATGCCGACCGTGGCAACCGTTCTGGTCATACGATTGGCGTTTCTTTTGTCACGCGATGACATGGCCCGACCGATTAGCCAATCAGTTCGTTAGAAGGGTGTCACGAGGTATAAAATGGCGGATCAAATAAAAATAATAAATGCAAAGAAGCGCGCATTTCTGCTTGTTTAGCCCCCTTGGCGCTTTATTCTTCCAGAGGCGAGCGTCGCAGTGCCATGGCGTTTAACTTGTGCCGTCTTCATGACGCCATGAAAAACCCTCTTGAAGCAATTAATTTGCTTCAGGGCATGGGCCTGCTCCTGGCTTCTCGTGCTTGCCCAGAGTGCGAAGCTGCGATGACGCTGCAAGTCCGCGCTAGATCTGCGGATGGGTATTCGTGGAGATGCGGTTTGTGGATGACTCGTGAGGTGCCCAAGAGGAAGCCGGTCAAGGTTCAGTGCCGGGGCGAGGTCTCGGTACGGAGTGGTTCCTTTTTCGAGGGATCGCACCTGACGCTTCCCCAACTCATGAAGATCATCTACCTCTGGTGCCAGAACCTACCGTGCGCCGTCATTCAGCGGGAGACTGATGTCGCAAGTAAGACAATAACTGATTGGACGAGCCTTTAGCGGGAGGTTGTGGTAAATGCCGTCTTTACGCATTCAGAGATGATTGGCGGCGAAGGCGTGACTGTAGAACTAGACGAGAGTATGTTCGGGCGGCGAAAGTACCATCGCGGGTATTTAAGGCCTGGCCAGTGGGTTTTCGGCGGTGTGGAGCGTGGCAGCGGGTGCTGCTTTCTTGTTCCCGTGGAGACCCGTGACGCTAATACCCTGCTAGGGCTAATAGCCAAGTGGGTCCACCCTGGAACAAGAATAATCACAGATTGTTGGGCTGGCTATCGCAAGCTTGCAGATGACGCTCGCTTCACGCACCTCACCGTTAACCACAAGCTGCACTTTGTCGACCCGAACACTGGTGCGCACACCAATACGGTGGAGGGCACCTGGGCCCACGTCAAAAACTCTCTTCCATCTGGACGGCGCGAGAGCCACCATTTCACTGGTCACCTTGCAAAGTTCATGTTTTGGAGGAGAGAGAAGGCGCGCGGAAACACTGACAGATTCCAGTCGTTCGTCGCCGCGGCCGCCAAAATCTATAGCCCCGACGCAGACAGGAATCTTCCCTATAGTGCGGAGGACGAGGATTCTGACGGCCCCGGTGACTTCGAGTGATCCGCTGCGCTGAGCCCGTCGCCCGCCTGCGTGCATAAAGACGACTTATGCGCCAACCGCTCGTCAAGTGCTCGTTATGTCAGTTATAGGTTCTGGTAGCAGTCTAAACGGTCCTTTTCAGGGCCCCCATATTTTGCAAACAGAGCTGTGTTTTGAATGCGGCACCCCGTGTCTCTGTAAAAAGTTCACAGGAAAGACCCAGCAAAGGTATGTGGTCCCCAACTGGGATATCGCGTGTGATGATTCAAATAAAAATTGTTCTTGCTTATTTCGCGCCTTTGATCCGAATAAATGCCGCAGTTGCAGTCGTCCCGCGGTGCTGTTGCTCGCCCATTCGCCGTCGGCGTGCCTCAGCTTCGTTGTCTGTGCTAGCGGCGCACCGGCGAAGGCGGCCTTTGATCCGAATAAATGCCGCCGTTGCAGTCGTCCCGCGGTGTTGTTGCTTGCTCGATCGCCGTCGGCGTGCCTCAGCTTCGTCGTCTTTGCTAGCGGCGCACCGGCGGAGGCGGTTGATCTGACACACCGCGTTCGGCTTTGGCTAGCAGACGGCGTTCGTAAAATGGCGTCAGCTGTTGCTGGCTTCACGCGGCGGTACCGTGCGTGCTTCTATTCATTCGGCGTTCGTTGCCATGGTGACGGCGAGGACAGCAGACAAACTTTTTGATGCGGAAGAACGCTGCGGCGTAGCGATACCAGGTGCGTTCTAAGGCCCTTCCCGCATGCTTTTCAATGGGCGGAAGGCGAACAAAAAGAGTTCGAAATAAGGACTTAACGCAGAAGGCTGCATTTCTCCAGCGCCTCATGATTTGACGAGCCTTGCACGAAAAGCATGTTTTTTTGGCCATCCCGCGTCCTGTTTTTTCTATCCGTAACATGGGTCTAAAGTATCAAACTGCCGGGAAAGCAACTTTTGTTCGAGTTTTGAGGGACGGGCTAATCTTTTAGGGGGAGGATGGCTGTTTCCAATTGCACGAACGAGGGTCCAAGAAAGAGGGGAGTCCTTCCTTTCCGTCTTCTTGGACCGTTTGGTACAATGCGCGATTTGCGAGTTGAGGAGGAAAGCTAAAAAAGAGAATGTTAAAATTCCAAAAGGCGGCGCTGCTCCGAAGGAATCTGCTACGTCATGACTACTTGGCAGATTCCACAACGTTGCTAGACTACCTCCCGAAATGGCTCCGCATGCATCCACCAGCTACACACTGAAAGATTGTTTATTTAGCTTTAAAAGTAGTTTTCTTGTGCTTTTCAACGGAAGACTGGTGTTTTTGAGGTTAGGGTGCAACATGCAACACATTCAAGCTAAAAAATGAGCGTTGAAATTTTGTTTCCCTACCCCTTTAAGGTCCACGCTTATAAAAAACGCACACAAGATGGACCGTAGCACAAGCCACGCCGACAGAAATTTGGGACAAACGCGTGACTCAAACACCGGCAAAGGTAGGCAGTTTGTTTTTACAGCTGAAAAAACAATTGTTAAGTATTTTCTGGGGGACAGCCCGTACGTCTACGTACCTGCCCTCTGGAATCGGCAAGGAGAGTTCTTGGACCCTGCGAACCATTGCGGCGGCGCCTTGCTCCAGACCGGAGCCGTCAAAGTGGGCCAAGGACACCGCACCGGACCCTGCAGAAACCGGTCTCGTAAGAGGGTGCCTTCCTTCCGATCCCTTCTCACTAAACGCCCTTTCGGCATCATAAAACAAAAAACCCGGGTTAGGGCAAGACTAAGGCGCCTGAAACTCGTCCTCGACCGGTGTGTCTTGCGTGTTTAGTATACTACACAGCACATGAGTCAAAATTGGCCCAGGGTGTCGAGTCCTCAGATGTGGCGATACCGAAGGTAGGTCGTTAAAGTTCCGGCAAAAGAGTAAAGCGAACGCAAGCGTCGCCGTCGTTGCAGCGTCCCAAATCCCAGCTGCCGAGGCCACCGCAGAGTGTCAAGTCTGAAAGCAGCCTGCAGGAGAACAGGCGTCAACTGCGTCACCCTCCGCCACCGTGCCACCTTTGAAATCGTGGCAGGCGCAGCACGACACGCACGCAACACCAACGTGAGGATATTGAGGGATCACAAACGAGGATGCTGTAAACACACCAATCAGAGACGCCTTCCAGACATCGTAGTCAAGCTCACAAAAAAAAGAACTAGAGGCTACGTTCTGGGATACTTCTACCTATCTGCTAGCCAAATCGAAATGATAAGGCAATTTACTCTAATTTTCGATGTGCCACCTCACTGCTAGCTAAAACAAAACAATAGAATTATTTACTTCATTTTTCAAAGTGAACGCACTATCATCGTGAGCAGTATTGAACCCGTGGACACAAATAGTGTCTAATAAATAAAATAAAACCTTTCAATGCACTTTTTTCTTTTTTTGCTCATGCTTTTATATTTTGCTTTGGGTAGCACCATAGTCTACAGGCTGGTTTGCACCTATGGGTAGACTGCGGCCAACTGCGTTGTGACCCCTTGCCACTGCCTACGATGAGAGAACACGGCGGCACATCAGCGCCGCCTATCGGGATGCCCCGAAACACTCTTGACCTACCAAGGCCGCCGAGATTTTCGGTGCACAAAGCCCTTCTCTGGCCCTTCCAAACGCTCGGCTGCCGAGCAAAAGGCGAGAATAGCGCAGCTTTTCCAGAGCTCTGTGAGGTGGGGTGAGCCGTGGGTTATCGAACTGGGTTCTTAGGAACCCAGAGATTCCTTAGAATACCCTCATGGGTTCTTCAAGATTCAACATTTCCTTGGCCATCTCTGCCCCTTGTGAGGTGCCTTTCCAGTTTAAGGGGGGACACTACCGAAGGGGTGGACATTACCCAAAATTGTGAATGTATGAACCACTTGCCTGATTTAAATGACATTCATAGGACTTGTCTATATTGATGTTGAGAACATAGATGCCAAATTTTGTTAACCTGGGTGAAGTACTAAAAAAATTGCAAATGTTCAAAGACGAAAGTGGGTGGGTGTGTCTGCATAGGAAAACATATCATTTTGAAATTAGTTATAAATTTGTCGTTTTCATGGGTTATCTTGCTTTATAACAGTTCAGAGCAGATAGCTATGGAGCTATATTTCTATATAGCAAAAAGCAAAGGCAAAAAGGCAAAGCAAAAAGCAAAAAGGCAAAAAGTGGAATGGAGAAAAATGTGTTCAAAGTGCTCCAACCTTCACCTTTTCTTTAGCATCAGAGGCCGAAAATAATTTATAAAATATTAGCTATGCAGTGTAAACTAATGAAACTTTCTGGGAATACTCTTTAGATGTTGGTAGATGTAAATATTATATTTTTCAAACTCATCTTTTTTTGCAGAAATTGTTTTTTCTGGCTGGGTGCCTTAAACTCTTTTTTGGCAGATCTGAGCAATCCACTGCAGTACTCTCACTAATCCAAACTCAAGTGAGCCATAAATTTTGTTCAAAGTATTGGCAAACATCTAAACATGATGTGCGATAAAATAATGATTTGTTTTATGAATGGCTACACATACAAAGCAGATATCTGATGATTTCTTCTATACGGGCCAACTAATCCTAAGCAGGTATGCCACATATGAAACACTGGTTTGATGAGATAAGTTTATTCATCCCTCAAAAATGTTGTCTATTGTGGAATGTTAAGACAGCATGTGACACTTCAAAACAAAATTAAGTTTGTTCATCCCTCAAAAACGTCTATTTTGGACTGTCGGCCCCTTTCAGTGTGCTTCTTGCCGAGCACCGATGCACTGCGGAGAAGCAACAACCATGGCAGCGAGCACCACGGGTGTCGCTTCTCCATGGCGCAACGGTGCTCAGTGAGAAGCGCGCTCAACGGGGTTGTGAGAACAAAAAGTACGAGAGCAATCAAGCAGTCGTGACACTGTCAGTGAAATCAGATACAAACGTGTGAACCAGCCATAAAAGTGCATTTCTGAGCGTGGCACTCACCGGTGTGGCGCACGATCGCCATGAGACACGTCGTTGCCTCGTCTGTTCCCAAAACACTGACATTTTCTGGACAGAGAAAGTCGGGGAGGAACACAAAACAGTTTAGACAGAGCACTCCTGACAAAATCATAGACCAGTAATCAAGTAACGAGACTAGTTGTTGGGCTAGTTGCTGTACAATTAAGATTTGAGGGTGGTCTGGAGGCACCCAAAACATCAATTGTTTTTCTTTTTCTTTTTAAAGAATTAATGCGCGTAGGCAAAAATTTCTTTTCAGTTCTTTAATTTATACGCGAGAGGTAACAAATACCACAATTATTTGACCAAAGTTATAACACTGTTTCACGCGGCCCTTTTAAGTGGCCTCAGAGATCCGCATTCTAGTTTCCAGCTGGCAACACAACTTTCTTATCGACTGGAAAGCTAATGACAGGTAGAGTTGCAGACTACCCCTCTCGTGAATGAGGTGTGTGCCATAACTTCTACCTTGAATAAAAGCAAAGCCTCTTCCCAGTTCAAAGAACGCATTTCCTCTTGCTATTATGTTTCTGAACCTTTTGGCATCATCCAGCGCCAGTGAAGAATGAACATATGCCAAAGACAAACAGAGCCATTGCAAGTATCAAAATGCAAAAATTAAAGAAAAGTTAATTTTTTAAAACGTCTTACATTTTATTTATAAGCCACAAACAGCATACCTTTTAACAGCTACAATCAGAAAGTACTTATTTATCTAGTTATGTCATTTTAAACTCATGTGTCCAGACTGTTACAAGCATATTTTAGAAGATTTGCCTATTTTTAATTACAACACAAACTTTTGCCCTGCCCATGGTTACTTTGAACATAGAACTCGGATCTGATGACTTCTGAACAGGGTCGGCCAGGCTGACCCGGCCTAAGAGCCGCAAACAAAACCACGAGACTTCCAAGAGCCGCCGGGGGGGGGGGGGGGGGGGGGGGGCTACTTTTTGTTGAGAGCAATAAACAAAACTCGAAGTACTTTCAATCCACCCGAGCCAAAAACAGTTCGACTGTACGTAACGTAGCAGTAGCACAAGACTACCAAACCGAAACCTGCATTTCAATTTAAAAAGCGTTCCATTTCTCTTTTTGGGGAAGTGTTCGTGTGACCGGGAGGGAGGCGGATGAGTGGAGCCGCATTCTAAAACATGAAGAGCCGCATGCAACTCGCAAGCCGCAGCTTGGCCACCCCTGCTTCTGAGGTTGGGTGTTTCATGAAAGAGTGCAGCAAGACTATGAGTTCTCAAAAATGTTAACTTTGATATTTTCTAGTAGCCAATAACTCTAATACCAATTTTTAATTTGCATTTAAAAAAATTTTTACCACTTGATAACATTTCTTAAAATGACACTAAAACTCTAAGTATAGTTTCATTGCACCCTCTACTGTTTGTAAAACATGCTGCAGAGCGCACAATTCCTAAATTTAGCATGGCAAACTTTTCCTTTACATGCTCCGATCTCTGGCGTGCTAACATGCTTGGCCACCGATCCCCCAGATGGCGTGGCTACAAAGCACACATACTGTCTTGTGGTACCGTGACCGCTAACTCCCGCTGGTTCACGTAGAGAAGTCCCAGGGGACCGATCACCTTAGGCACTTGTGAGATGAGTGCTGCCGCAATTTCCTGCAGAGAGAGAGAGAAAAAGTGACGCTCTGCGATCCCAAAAAAAAATCTTGTTCGGACTTTTGGGCAAACACAAAATTTTTTAAAGACTTGGGTAAGTTGGTAATTCAATCGAAACAACAACGGTGCAAAAATTCCCAATTCCTCGCCATGCCCTGCAGAAGAAATGTGGTGCTAGCCGGAACATTGTGAACTGCTGCTTAAAAACCTTAGAAGACAAAAGATATAGGTTGATTACTCCTAAAATGGAATGCTCGTAGGTTACCTAGTACATACACTTTGATGCAGGACACGCCAAGCAAGCAGTAGCCGTCGAGCTCTTCGCTTTCATTTAGGCCTAGCTGCTTCTTGTGATCGTCAAGCTCGAAACATTCCGCGGGTGCCTTTCGTTGCATCATCGCAATTTTCCGCTCGATTGAAGTGAGGTCATCCAGCAAGGATGAGGCGGATGCCGATTGTGCTGGGTGACTGAAATTTCGATGTTCGACGGGAGGCAGCGAAATGATGGGCGATTCCAAGACACTCGGCAACGGCGGAGCACTTGGAAATGGGAAAGTTGCGCTCCCGTCGTCCTTCTTAGGAAGTCGTCCACTCCCTCTTCGCTTCAAAAACCGCTTGCGACCACCGAACTTGAACAGCGAAGGCTTGCTATGGAAAGTCGCCGGCGTCGTTGAAGAGTTGAAGAAAGTTGAAGAACATTCAAGGGCGCGTAGTGCGCTAGCAGACGATTATTTGGCATCACGTAACTCGTCCTAGCAAGTCAGAGCTCTTGTTTCGCCATTGGCCAATAAGAGCATGCACAGCTATGTTTTCTAGGTGGTTTTACGGTCTGTAAGCACGATATCCCAAACAATGCTCCAAACAGAACGAAAGAGGGTGAGATGCTCGTTCCAATGAGGGGTTAGTCCTAAGAAATCCGGAGGGAGTGAGCCTTGAAAATAGCAAATTTGCGTGATTGGCGGCAGCGACGGCGCACATGCGCGGCCGTAGAATACTGCACATCTGCCCATTCCACATTAAGCGCCCATTACTAAATTTGCAAGATCTGAGAAAATATGCACAGTACCGTAAAATCCTGAAATAGCGCCCCCACTCGATAGATCGCCCACTCCGCTTTTATGTTCGAACACGTGTTTCCCTCGAATACTGATAGGTCGCCCACCTTCCAAAAATAGCGATGCCCGAAGGTTGAGAAAGGTGCCGGAGGGTAGGGGAGAAGGTTTGGAAAGCCTAGGATTCCCTTCACAAAAAGAAGAGGCCACACACAATAAAGGAGATAAGATAACGGAAGGAACCCGGAAAGCGGTCAAGGTCACTCATTGAATGACATCAGGAAAGCGTTGAAGGTCACTTAGTGGTTGTCGTCAGATCGCCCGAGAACCCCAGAAAATCTTTCGACCAGCAAACTGTGAAGACGTTTCTTGTGTATACTCGGGATGAGGTCCAGCTATACCATCCAGAAGAAAGTGGAAGTCGTGGAATGGCACCGCAAGAACGGAGCTAACGTGAGCAAGACTGCGCGCCATTTCGAAGTTGACCGGAAGCGTGTACGGGAATGGAATACGAGCTACCAAGTACTTCTACAACAATGCCATGGAACGAACAAGTTGAAGAGAGCAATAGGTAGGGGACGACCCGTTTTTAGTGAAGAAATCGACGACGCACTGATGGACTTCCTGGAGACTGAGAGATCCGCCGGTCGAGCAGTCAGCAATCGCCTGCTTCAAGAGCATGCGCGGAAACTGGCAGAACAGATGGGCCTAGGAAACTTCCAAGCGTCATGCCAGTACATAGCTAACTGGAAGAAGCGATTTAATGTGTCTATGCGGGTGGGGACCAACGAAAGTCAGAAGCTGCCTGCCGACTACGTTGAAGCAATTACGGTGTTCCGAAAGGCTGTGTCAACTCTGCGCCTGGAGCACAACTACTCGGACTACAACATAGCCAACATGGATCAGACTATGGTCCGGATGGATTGCCCTGCTGCGAGAACCAACAATGCTGTCGGCGAGTCGAGTATTCGCATCGCCAGCATTGGCTGTGCTCGGCGAGGGACGACGGTGGCCTTGTGCGCGACGGCAGCGGGCATCAAGCTACCTGCTTTGATCGTACTGAAGGAGCCAACCGGCCGGATTCCCCCCCAGAGGACTCTTTTCTCTAAGGATTCCAGGTATGTTGTAATTAATCACCATTCAGGGTATAAATGTCGAAACAAAGCCTTAGAAATACGTAAAAATAAGGCTGACAGCATTTTTTTTTTTAAATAGAGCGACTGTTGCGTCGTCCATTGACAAAACGACACAGCCCATTTTGTTTTGTATCGCCCCATTTCCGAAAGATGGCGTAGCCGTTCTGGCCGGCGCCATCTTGGGCGCACGAGCAGTTGGCGCGTGACTTGCTGGCTTTCCGAAGCTTACTCACTTGCGCGTGCTTCGGCGCTCGGCCATAAAATCGGGCAGTTCGCATATCTTCACTCATCGGCGTAGCATGTGTAATGTGCGTTTGGGGCCCAAACTGTTATTTCATGTTATACTTGTTGTACTTATAGCAAATGTGCGAGTTACTTCTTCCAAGAACGGTTGGATGACCTCTCCCGTCCTACTGGAGTGGACTAGGAGAGTTTGGGGCCCGAACGCAGACGACGTGAGGAGACTGCTCATACTGGACCAAGCACCCATACACAAGACAGAGGCGGCCCGAGAAGCGCTCGACGCAAAAGACACCGACGTCGTCTTGATACCGGGCGGTTGCACGTCCAATTTGCAACCCGCGGACGTCTCATGGATGAAGCCCTTCAAGGACGCGCTGCGTGGAATTTGGGCATCGTTCTTCCGGTTCGGTGACTCCAAAGGGCAACCTTCGCAAGCCGTCGCGTCAAGAGGTTGTGGACTTGGTGGCTCAGGCGTGGGCCTCCGTCTCCGAGGATACCGTGCGGAGTTCGTTCAAACGGTGCGGAATATCCACAAGGCTCGATGGTTCCGAGGACGGCGAGCTCAACGACCGTTTGGCTTCGGTAACCAATGGACCCGAGGATCCCGAGAGCCTCATTGACGAGGCGTTAGATTTAATCTTCGATAGCGAAAGCGATGTGTCGTTTGACGGTTTCAGCGATGAGACCTAGGGAAACCCACGCTGCTTTGGCGCATGCGTTACTCGATTTTTGTTTGTGATTTTGGTTATTAAATACTGAAAGATCGCCCACCCCACTTTTTTTGCCAATTATCTACGGCGAAAAGGGGGGCGTTAATTCAGGATTTTACGGTATGTTTATATGTAAAATTGATGACCGGACAAGCGTCAATCCCCTATTTTTTTGCTATTATCTCCAAAGTTTGAGTGGGCGCATGCCCGGTATTTTATGGTAGGTTCCTAAGTGTTCTTTTTTTTTCTTCTAAATACAGAACCACTTTTTTTTTATGCAAATGGTTACAGGGTTGAAAAAAAAAAAAAAAAAAAAAAAAAGGACTTTATCAGGACAGTAGACTTGCACTTCCCAAGGCCATTTTCGTTGGGCAATATATTTGACTTGTCTCAAGGTCTAGAATAAGATGTTCAGTGCCCCGTTCACCAAATGGCCTCCAACATAAAGAGAGCTACCTCTTCCCTAGTCCTAATATATGAACTAAGCAATACGACCATTCAAAAAGTTTGGGGAGGGGCTAAGATGGTAAGAATGCACACATACAAAACCCCACCTACCTTGAACTGGGGATAGGAGTCAAGCAGTGTCCGTGTGTCTGGGGGCAACTGTTCCACAACCGCTCCGTTGATAACAAGCGGCATCCTGCAATAAAAATGTCACTATTGTTATTGTCATTCTTATTATGATGAGAGCCAAGTGCCAATGAGTCACCCACAATAAGTATGCTTCTAAACTTCTTGACTACTATAGTATCCCGAGAAATAGCCAAGCTAAAATCGAGAGTGAATCAAATGAAAACAAGGAGGGGGCTAACTTTCAGTGTATAACCGAGAAAAAATGGAAAAAGAAAAATACCATAGAAGCAAAACAATGTGAACGTGTGTTCACACTTTGTTCAGTCACCCTTAAAACCTTTAAACGAGCAGTTGCTTTGTCAAACAAAATGTTGTCACTTCTTCCCGTAGATTCTGCGACCTTTCAAACCTGTTATTGCAGCAGGGGGCCATGAACCAAAGACAACTGTTCTTCCCAGTCAGCATTTATCGCCTACCCAGCTGTCCTTGTTGCCACCGAGAATTATCTTTCAATGTTTTGAAACAAATACCGAATCATTCCAAAAGTAGGGGTGGGTTATCTTTCAGGGGCTTCTGGGGATATTACAGTAATTTTGACAAGAAGAAGGGTGGAAAAACACTAATTTCAATGTTGAGCCTGAGAAAGACTGGACCGTGGCCGCACTGGCTTCTGAAGATCAATGTGAGATAACTTTTTATGCCGATCAGTTCCTTCTGATTGGGGGGGCCCGGTGCAAACCAGGTGTACGCAAGAGGAAAAAAAATTGCCTGGTTTAGACATATCATTAAAGGTAATAAAGGTTGAATAGCACTTCAAGTTTTAACAAGTAGCACTTCCTATTGCAAGTATACACAATCCGAGATGCGGCAAAGGAATTGTGAATGCATAAAAGGCTTCATCCTCCACCACTTCTTTGGGGGCATTGCATCATTTTTTTTCTGAAACAACATCCAGGGGTGGAACTCATGAAATGTGCTTGGGAGCAGCCACGGGAGCAGCTAAAACAGCTGTTTTGGAGCAGGTTGGGAGCAGCTAAAACTACACTCTGGAGCAGGCTAGGAGCAGCTCAGATCAGTTTTCATTGCACTCCAGCTTGTGTCTTAGACAAGCACGGGAGCAATTTCAGTTGTGCTTAGCAGCCCAGATAAACATGAGTGGTTAGGGACCTAGGCAGATGGGTTAACAGTGTAACAGATGCAAAAACTTGGAACTTTGTGAGCCTTGATATTTTCTGAGTGGCTTTCAGCTGCTCAAAATGCAAACCAGCACCGCTTATCGCACAGTCCGCACGTTCTCGACAGAGTGATTTTATGTGCGAACCACGTGACGTGCGTAAGCAACGGACGTGCAGTTGCGCGGAAGAACAGGGAAACAAATTTCGAGTTTCTCATATTGCGCAACTCAATATCGCAACAAAATTCGAGTTTATCCTATTGTGCAACTCAATATTGAAGCAGCAGACTACGATTAACGGAGTTATTGTATTCGAAGCGATAAGCTATAGCAAGGTTAACGTATGCCGAGCAGATCTACCGCTCGCGTGAGAGCTGCTGGCCGGCAAGGTTTCGGATCGGACTGCGTTTCAGATCTATCAAATCACGATTTATCTTGCAGGAATGCGGTTCCAACTTCTAACGATGAAGTGCTCAAAGGAATCTTTTGCTCATTTGTTTTCAACTGACTGACGTCCGGATCCCGGGCTTCGGAGCCTCAGGCAATCTGACGCTTAACGACTCGACCTTACCTCGACCGACTTGTTTAACCGCTTATGGTTGAAGAATAACAATCCAGAGGCAGATGGTGTAGCGCTTGGAATCCGAACCCCGAGTTTTTTTCGCACACTTCCTACTCGGGATACACAGGGAGAATAAAGAGAAAAAAAGGATTGCAAGGCCGACCAAGCTAAATGCGATCATTGTTGCCAATCGAGTCGATAGAAACCGAAACCAAGACAAAATACAATTTTTTTGGCGCACGTTTTCCAACTTGGTGCATAATGGCGCGAGGTATTGACTGTGGCGCAGTTTCCGAAACATGGCACAGGATGGCGCAGACAAATGCGTCTGGCGCAAAATGGCGCAAATGGCGCAGCCGTTCCACCCCTGACCAGGGGTGGAACTCACGAAATGTACTTGACAGCAGCCACGGGAGCAGCTGAAACAGCTGTTTTGGAGCAGGTTGGGAGCAGCTAAAACAGCTGTTTTGGAACAGGTTGAAGCAGCCAAAAACTACATTTCGGAGCACGTTAGGAGCAGCTCAGATTAGTTTTCATTGCATTTCAGCTTGAGTTTTAGTCAAGCACGGAAGCAATTTCAATTGTGTTTAGCAGCACGTATGAACACGAGTGCACGGTTAGGGACCTCGTTAGATCGGATAACATTGTGAAGGATGCGAAAACTTGAAACTTTGTGAGCCTTAATGAGAACCAAAAGGCAATAACCACATGTTTCTGAAGATAGCGTCCTCGATATTTTCTGACTGGCTTTCAGCAGCTCAAAATGCAAAGCAGCACTGCTTATCGCAAAACCCGCACGTGCTCGACATAGTAATTATACGTGCGAACCACGTGACGTGCTTAAAGGGCTACTCCACCGATTTTTTCATTGTCTCCGATTTGCTTGAAATTTTGCTAAACTAACCAACAAACATCGCGAAAATAGTATCCCAAATATTAGGCCAAAATATTGTTTTTTCGCGAAGTTATTGAATTTACAGTTTTGGTCCTCACCGTGTTTTTCAAGATCGAAGTCTCTACTGGCAACAATGAAAAAGTGACGTCAGTGGAAGGCAGGGGTTCACTCTTTGGGCTGTAGATTTTGTTTTAAACTGATTCGAAGCAGTTTCATGGTGTCAAAAGAATGCTTGGGAAGCTCGCTGCAGTACCCGCGCTCCAGCACGGAACAAATGATTGGCATATTCTATTTTTGGCTGCTTGCTGGACTGACAAGCCTGCCTGCCACTGACGTCACGGCCCTGAAAAGCGCGCGTATATTTGAATGTTGGTTTTTGCATCATTTTCATTTGCCGATTTCGCAATAACTATTATGAATTTCGCGATTCTAAATAGCATACCGGAGAGAGTAAAGGCCGGGGAGTCAGAAAATATAGTTAGTTGAGGTAGCTCAAAAAATCGGTGGAGTACCCCTTTAAGCAACGGACGTGCAGTTGCGCGAAGGAACAGGGAAACAAATTTTGAGTTTACCCTATTGTGCAACTCAATATCGAAGCAGCAGACGACGATTAACGGAGTTATCGTATTCGAAGCAATAAGGAACAAGGTTAAAGTACGCCGAGCAGATCTACCGCTTGGGTGAGAGCTGCTGGCCGGCAAGGTTTCGGATTGGGCCGCGTTTCAGAAGTTATCAAATCACGATTTTCTTTTTGCGGGAATGCGGTTCCAACTTCTAACAATGAAGTACTAAAAGGAATCTTTTGCTCATTTGTTTTTAACTGGCTGACGTCCGGATCCCGGGCCGCAGAGCCCGAGGCAATCTGACGCTTAACGGCTCGACCTCACATCGGCCGACTTGCTTACCCGCTTATGGTTGAAGGGTAGTAGCAGGTGGTGTAGTGCTTAAAATCAGACCTCCGATTTCTTTTGCGCGCTTCAACACTCGGGGTGCACAGGGAGAATAAAGAGAGCAAATTATTGCAAGGTCGACCCAGCTAAACGCGCTCATGCTCATTGTTGCCAATCGAGTCGATAGAAACCGAAACAAAGACAAAATACTATATATATTTTTTTTTTGGCGCACGTTTTGCGATTTGGTGCATAACGACGCCAGGTATTGGTTGTGGCGCAATTTCCGCAACATGGCGCAGGATGGCGCAGACAAATGCGTATGGCGCAAAATGGCGCAAATGGCGCAGCCGTTCCACCCCTCACATGTGTGGCCGTAAAACAATTTTCGAAACTTTTTTGTAAATTGCAAATTTTTAACCTCTTGGTTTCTGAGTGATCAATATATACCTTCTCCTCTAAATCCCTAGTAAAAAAAAAATTTATAAAAAAAATTTTATAATTTTCAGGTTTGGCTTTTTCAGCAACCATACCTTCAACTAACAAAATATGTCATTATAAGCAGAAAATGAAAACCTTTGCTGTAACAAAAAATGCAAAAAGAAAACTCTGTGGAGTACCCCAAAATACCACAGAATGCCCTCCCCCTAGAGATTGCACATCCCATTTGTCTCGCTAAATATCCATGGGGTAAAATTTCAGAAACATTGCTCATACCCGACTCCCGTCGTGCAATAACATCAACCGTGCGATCTACAGAATCACTACATGTGACAAGAGAGTTTGTAGCGGATCCCCGCGTGTTTATCGCACTGTGAAACACAAATGTGCTGTGTCCACAATCTGTGGTAGCACTTTTTGTGCCATGTGATTCAAATAACCCTCCCACCCCTCACCAAACAGCAGAAAAAATAAAGCGATAAATATGGGGGGGTTCATTGCTCATTTTGGATGTAGAGTCTGCTGTCACATCACCAAAGGGTAACGGCAAAGAAAAAAAGTGTTTTTTTTTTAACAGCCTAATTGGGACAAGCATGTCACAAAACAAATCTTCCGCGAAAAAACAATTTTTTTTGTAGCAATCTTTATGCCACAGGACGCAATTTAGTTGGAGTCACAACTTCTCCACATTTGAAACTCCCGCTTTTTCGACGCGCGCGGAGTGGCTGTTATATGTCACTCCGTGACGTATGGCAGCCACTATGTGACGTGTAATACCAACTTTGTGGCGTGCGATTTAAAACGGACGAAAGAGCCGCAAACTAAAATCAGTCTAGTGCAATAAATATTGCTCTAAACATTTTGTTTTTGCGAAAAATTGTTTTGTGTCATGCTTGTCCCAATTAGGTTGTTTAAAAATAGTTTTTTTCTTTGCAGTTACCCTTTAACATTTATCTATACAATATAAGCAGGCACTTAACCGCCAAATTTTGTTTTTTAAAAGTAACCTAAAAGTGCCAGATTCTTTTTTATTTTGATTTGTTACTCCTCTAGTATTGCACATAAAATTTTAAAAGTTTATTACGCAAAAATCACTGGAGGCGAA